ATCATTTACTTGTACCTAGTACCTAGTTTAGTGATATGTAACTGTTGAACCTATAGGACAGTATGACCTCGCTGGCTTTCTGCAAAATAAATTATTGAATCAACGATTGAAGTAGCGTTTTCTTCAGTGGATTTTTTTCGTAAAATCATCTTTACTGTAATCTGTGTTCCTTGACTTGTCATCAACACTGAGAGCATTTTCTTTTCTTTTTCTCTCATTAACATAATGAATCATTTATTTCTTGGTCAGTTGTAAGTCATTCTTCTATTCCACTTGGATTGTTCATTTTAAGTGAAGGAGGCATAGCCTTTAATGTGCAAATATACATTTTTTTAAATAATTATGGGCTATATCTAACTCTAGAGCTTGTAAATTCTTTAACATTATAAGAAATTTTAGCAAACATAAGGTTAAGTAGTTAAACGTAAACTTAAACAGAGTTTTAGTAAATATTTGATTTTATCGGAAGTCCAGGCATACCAAAACACTGAAAACTCTGTTAACACCCACATAGTGAATCCATTTAAAAAAACTTTAACTCACTTTGAACTCTGAAAGCTATTTGTCTACAGAACAGCCCAGGTGATAATAATATCACCTCTTACAACTCTGCATTGTTCTTGGATTCTCTACAGTTGTTTAGCTCTCCTCAAGTAAATCTATGCTTCTAAGACATTTCTTTTGCTTCGGGTAAAAAAATAAAAGCAAAGAAAAATCATTTTGTCTGTCAGTCCATAAGCTTTATAAGCAGCAAGTAAATACTTTGATTTGGTTTGGGGTAGATGTCATATAAGGATAAATGGTAGTGAGCTACATGTTCAAGATGGGTAGCAAGAAGTCAAGGGCAAGTAGGTTCATGGATGGGGGTGAGGTTTAGTGAGGGTTTCAGTACCAGGTGGTTCATATCAACATTAAAGCTTGATGTTCCTAATGGTGCAGGCAAGTTTGGGGTTGCAAAGATAGGCAGAGGGCTTAAAACAGTAAGTGTGGCCAAGACTAGATAAATGAAGCAGGTACTCCTCAAGAATGGAGTTCCAGAAAGGTGCTTGAAATGTTAGTATATTCATTGAGGACACATAATTGATTGTATACCCAACTTAATAGTCAGTCTACTGAGAAGTTGTAGACTGTGAAGATGAGGAAAGTTAGAACATTTTGGGGAGAAAGAATGAGGGAGTGGGAGGGAGGGTAAGTTTATGACAGGAATCTTACGGATTCAGCACCTGCAAAAAAGTCATTCTATTCCTTTTCAGTTTAAGATCTCATACACTAGCAGCTGCTGGGATAGAAATTAGAAGGCAAGGCCAAAATAGATCAGTTAATCAGTTTTGTAAGATTACTGAGGATAGAGAGAAAAGTAGTTTGTAAAAACTCTGAAATTGGCTACAGCTTAGTGTTTTTGTTTTAACTGAGTAACTTATGACTGAAAAGTCAAAGCCATTAGAAAGTAACATGTAACTCAATCAGCTGAATAAATGTTATATTTTTCTATTTAACATGGCCTAGAGAAAGGAGTCTTCAAAACTTTTTTCTTAAAATACTCTTACTAGATCCTGATCCTTATGTTCTAATTTAGTTGTGAACCATGTGCAATGATGTTGGCCTCTGTGATTCAACATGAAAAGAATTTAATCAGCTGCCCTTGCTGAATCTTTTGTCATGTCTCCTGAATGCATGGTAAATTGTTTTTATTTTCTTGAGACCTCAGGTTTCTGCCGACATCAGTTTTCTCTTTCAGAGTTAAATTCTCCAAAGCTTTGCTTTTCAGTAGAATAGGTTGGATATTTATTGGATAGTATCTACAGTATATATACACCTTGCTGTTCAGCTGCTTCTATATTTTGTCCTACTACTATGATATACCATATACCCTTTTCAGTTACTTGAGGGTGTGTTTTAGATCAGGGTTGGCGCTATGGCCCACCTGCTTTTTGTAAATAAAGTTTTGTTGGAACACAATCATGCCCATTTGTGTATATATTGTCTGTAGCTGCTTTGCCTTACAACAGCAGAGTTGGGTAGTTGCAACAGAGATATATAGCTGGTAAGCTTAAAATATTTGCTATCTGGCCCTTTAAGAAAAAGCTTTTTGACCATTGTTCTAGATCAGTGTTTATCAAAAATGTGGTGCCCAGATCATCAACCTTAGCATCACCTGGAAACTTGTTAGAAACACATATTCTTGGACGTACCACCCCAGGCCTACCAAATCAGAAGTTCTGGGGATGGGGGCCAGCAATTTGTGTTTTAAGAAGCCTTTCATGTGACTCTGATGCACATTAAAAGTTTGAGAAACTCTGTTCTGGATAAATGTTTCCCAAATGTAAATCACATATATCACCTGTACTATTTTTTACCCTGTTTTCTTTTTGTTTAATTTTTTATGTCAACTCACTTTCTGAAAATTTAAGCTAATTTTAAAATGAAAGTTTATGTCACCAGAAAAATAAATACAATGAAAACAACATGGTGTTATGAGATAACTAGAGTCTGTTGTCACTTACCCTATGCTAAAAATTAGAACTCATTAGCTGTATTAAGTACGTACTAAGCACCAAGTGGAAACTTTTTTCTTGCCTTAATCATGATAAATAATCACTAGTGATTGAGTGGTGTTTAAAATGTCATGTTGGTGAAATCATACAACATCTAAAATTATTTTTTGTCCAAATCCTGTACTTTAGGAAATACTGTATTAGTTGCTCATACGGAAGGAAAGCTGCTTGAACTGTATATACCTAAGCCACTGGGTAGAAATGACTTTTCCTTAGAAATAGACAGAAATACACACCCATGGGATGGAGAGATATAGAAGTCCCCAGAGAGGTCCATCTAGACTTCTGGGATGAAATTACGTATTTAGCTTCATCTTACCTTTCCATTAATGTTTTGGTCCATGGTGGTCAGCAATTCTGCAGGATTTCACCAACTTCTTCCACAGTGGGATTGTGAAAGGTGCTGGCTGTGAGAAAAGCTGATTATCAAAGAAAACCCCTGGACTAGAAACTGGGGGGAAGTGCTGTGATTCTGCATTATGGACCGGAACCAGCAAGGCATGCTTACTAGAAAAACAGTTGATTCACCTCAGATTTTAGAATTTTGAGAAATTCTGGTATGAAAATAAATCAAATGATTTAATTTGCCTCATAGTATTAGAGGGAATACTTCCCCAGACATGGTGTTCTGATACTGGCCGATGTGTTTTAGGGTGTAGTAATTGATAGGACTAGAACCTGAATATCCCTAGGTTGTTGAGTTGCTTCACTTTTTTTCTTGCTTTCTTTTTCTTAGAGATTATGGACGTACTTGCTTCTGTTGTCGTTTGACTCTGCAATAAAGTAGTGACATAGGACTCTAATTCTCGAGGGACTGAAAGTCCAGTAGGGCGTGAAGATTGCACATGAACAGTTACGTTTATTTTTAAGTGATAAATTCTGTGATACTGATTGCATATAGGTGTCTAATTTTGAAAAAAGTTCTAAAAAACATAAAAGACCACCAAACACCTATAGGAGAACAAGTGTTATTTGTTCATTAAGTAAAGTGTTACAAATGAAGTCGCTCATGTTCTCCTTCACAGTTTCAGTCCTTTCCCCCAAAGGCAATTCTTGTGACTATGTCACGGTTTTCCATGGTTTTCCTGCTCTGTTGTTTCAATAGTTGTAAGGCTCAGTCTCCTTCATGGTAATCTCTGTTTTTCATTTTAACTTCCTTTATCATTGAGTTGTCTGTTTCCTCTGTCCTTTGATATTCTTATTTATCCTTTTTATTTCTTCATTAGTTTTAGATTTGGGGAGGCTCTGCTTAGCGTTTATAGCTATCACCAACTATGGAGAACTTGTCTCTAATAGACAAATCAGCCAATTACTTTTTCTTTGGTTCTTTTCAGCTATTTCCTCATAGCCAGAGAGAGCTTTCGTTACTTCTAATTTTGTGTATAAAAAGTTCTGGATGATAGAAGGCACCAGATATCCAGAGTAGGAGTATTATTGTATCAGAATTGCAGTTCTGCAAGTAAGTATCAAAATATGAAATTTAGCAGGCTGCAACTTTTTAATGACTGACTTCCCTTTATGACATATACCATAAAACAAATTGTATATAATCCACTTTTAGGACTAAATTTGTGGGTAACTGTTTATTCAGGCTTTTCTAACGTGTGTCTTAAATCTAAGAGGAGGAATATGTTGATCTCCTATAGCATGTATCCCCCTGGAAGAAATGTGATGGCGTTGAGCCCTGCCAGTGACCAAGATTCTGTGCTTGTATAATGAGGGAAGATAGGGTTGTGGCAGGGGTGGAATAGAGCCCTTGGAATGTAGCTACTTCAGTATTTCTTTCTGCACATTTCCTTCACCATTCTGTTAGCTCTTAAAGACCCTGAGCTTTTCGTCCTGTTACCAAGGCTGTTTCCCAGTCTCATTCCTTATAATTTTTTTATATGGATTTTCATAGACAAGTAGGCTGATAGATTTAAAAAATTATTTTAGCATTATTAATCTTTGGTCATATTCAGCAAGAATGAACTTGTTTTGGAAATTTCTTCTGCAGTGGGCATTGCATTTTTAAAATGTCGGGCTTGTCATGGTGATTATGGTGGGGGTGATATTGGTACCTATTTGTAATGATAAACCTGTAGGACCATATGAAAGAATTAAGAGGGATGGCCTTTCAGTACCCTTATTTTTTGCATTTTCTGGGGGAAAGGAAAGCCTCTACTAATACTCAGTATGATTTTATAAGTTCTGTTAGAAAGAATGACTTGATATTACATTTGGAAGGGAGAATGCCTTAATTAGTTTTTCCCGCTGCCATCTTTGGCTGAGTATTTTTTCTTTCCTTTTGTAATAAATGTATTCCTGAAAAGTTTGACATGTAACGAGTCCTATTAAATGTTTCCAAAGCATCAGTAATCATATAATGTTAAGACATGGTAGTGAATCTTTTCATAAAATAAACCCTATACTTTGTACTATATAAATATACAATGAATTAAACTGTATTTATTAACAAGGTAACATGGAGTAATAAGAGTTTTTTCTTTTAAGGTTATTATAAAAGGGTTCTTATAGGTGAGCTTTAGGCTAAATTCTAAAGGAACAACAAAGGTAGGTGGGAGATGTTAGTGGATTTGGTGAGACTATTGGAGGAGTGTGTAAAAATGATCGAATTTGTTCTTTGCTATAATAGTTACAGTGAAGCAGTAGCTTTTATCTTGGTTCCACGTGAAGACATAGGGGTTTACTTGTCCATATGAAGACATGTGTTTTCTGTACAGGACAGGTCTCTTCCTGCTCTGTTACTAGACTAGAAATTGGTCTTTATATAGTTCCCACATTATTATGTGGAGTCCTAGCTTATGTTGTAGGTAATAAGAAGGTGGAACATTTGAAGATTTGAGGGCACAGGGAAATGAGAAGCTTTAGGCTTATTCACCTCTCTTTCTAGCTCTGGCTTTCCTTTCACTGAGAGGGTATGGAATTTATTTCAGAGGGAATGTGCCTGCCCTGTCCCAAGCCAACAGTGACACGTGGCCCCTAACAAGTATGCCTGTGGGGAGGGCTTTGGTTGTCACATTGGAGAATGTGGGAGAGCTTTTCCTCTTCTGGCCCCATTTATAAACTAGGATGCTTCCATTTGCTTTGTGTGCTGTTGAGTTTTCTCTTCTCTGTTTTCTCTAAGCTAAGCTCTTAGCTGATTCTGTACAAAAGAAATACTAGTTGTTTTTATAAATTGCTTGCCATTAATGCCTGATAAAATGCGGTAAAATAAGGATTCTGCATACCATTATATATGTCAAATATTACAAAGTTTAAGGTTCTTTTGAAATTACAATACTAAACTCAGTTCACTTTTGCTTAGCCTTCACAGTTGTTGATCACATAGCATGGTCATCCACTCACAGCTTAAAAAAATACAGGGAGCATCGGAGAGAATGGGTAAAGTAAAATTTTGATGTTTTTAAAATAGCACCTAAATCTATGAAAGTTGATTTGATTTATTGTTTGTATGGGTGGGAGAGGGTGGTTGGCGCTGGAAGGGAGGGGGTGGATATTGGGAAAATAGCATGCACCATGTAAAATGATGTCAGATACCATCTAGGCTAAGATTTTTAAGTGTTGCTACTACAGTTTAAGTCTGTTTCAGAAAGGGCAGGACCATAAAATGGCAGTGTTGGGATTTACAGTGGGTTTATCTTTCCCTCCCTACAGATTGAAGGGGATTTTGAGAACAGCAATATTTGAGTAGTTTGGACAGAAGCCTTCTTTTTAGAGTGGGCTGTCCATATTCCCTGAGTAAAACTGCCTCAGTAGCACCTCATGCTCTGTTAACGTGACTGAAAGACCTTGAGAGGAATAATATTTATGCTAGTTTTTATTGTATACCTATGACTCAGGTGTTCTCAAATATAGGTTATGATTCATGAAACTCATGAAGAGGTTGAACAACAGAGGTTAAGAGAGTTGTTACTCTGAAGGTAGTTGCTTGGTAGAAAAAACATTAATAGAAATTTTGATGCTTCCATTCAGATGAAGAACACTTTTCCTTTCAAAGTTCTAAATCAAGTTTTTAATCTCAAATCTCATCATTATAGTTATGTACAAAGCCTAATTAATTAGTATTACGGAGGTCACAGAGAAGAGAGCCTGCCATGTTTTTACGGAGAGGGCATTTTGTTGTTGAGAACTCAAATAACTTGGTCTAACCTCCGCCCCATTATTTTTAAACTTTTTTCTTTGTTTACACATTTAAAATCTGGGTGCAGAAAAAATTAAATCAGATTTTACCCTAAAAATACTATTCTTGCCCCAGCTTTGCTATTCCCCTACATGAAGCCATTTGCCAAAGCCAGATACGACTTACTTATTGTTTCCCAAACCTTCCTGCCTCTATAAGCTTTGTCAAAGGTATTACCGCCAGTTTGGAATGCTCTTCTTTCCCCTTTCCTTTGGTCTAAGTCCTGTCTTTCCTTCAAATAATGGCTTCTACTCATTGCATGAAGCCTTCTCTAACCTCTTCAGTCCTTGGTGGTCATTCTAGTCTTAGAATTCCTGAAGTACTACTATTTGGTAGTATTTCATCCATTACAAACATTCATCTGGCACTTGGATCATGCTTCCTTTTGCGTTACTTGTTACTGCATTTAAATATCCTGTTTCTCTAGGAAAATGAGGGGCTCCTTGAGGGTAGAGAGCTTGTCTTAAATGCCTCTTTGTAATCCCATTGCCTAGCACAGAGGATATGTTCAGTATTGGGCTTGATTCTATTATTTGGATCCAATATTAGTGTAACAGAGCAATTGTTCTTTTAACTTAGGTTATTTTTATAATGAATATATACCCAGAAAACCCAAAGATAAAGTACATTGAATTAATGAAGTAATTCCTTGTATTATAAGGAGATTTGGTTCATATTTGTTCCTTATTAATTATAGTTTCCCTCTCCCCCCTCCTTTGTTTTTTAGTGGGTGCTGTTTTACCTAGTTTCTTTTGAAAAACATGGTTTGGGCCAGATATATTGACATTTTATATTACTAGTATTTTTATTTTAAAATTCTTTGTTGGTTTAGCCAGATTATACTTTCATGGCTTAAGCCCAAATAAAATACATTTATTAAATACTGTATGGTAATATAGTCAAATTATTTTAAAATGTTAACCTTAAAGTCTCTCAAGTAAAATTTAAAAAATATCAATAAACATATTCAGTTGCTAGTACCTCTCAGGGTATTTCTGTATCTCAAATTATTAGGAATTTTATTATTTCATTGTTACAAAGATTTCTGTCCTGTACAGGCTGATATTTGATAGCTGTATTTATTGTGTTTGCTGCAGTTATCAAATGTTTATAGAGCAACTATTCGTATGTAGTGAGGAGTTATTTAAAATTACTTTTTGGCATTTATAGAAACTGACACTTAAAGGTCTTGAGGGATGATTTTGCTTAATTCATATTTGGAATTGTTCTCATTTTATCTGATAGCAGTGTCTTCAAGGCACATATGTCTTAATGTTAGATTTATGTCGTGATTTCAGAGGAAATGTTTGACTAGTAAAACTTCAGAGAATCTTGATTTTAGTCGAAGGCCTGGCTTGTCATATTCTTGAGCCATTAGTTTGACAAAGCACTGAAACAATACTGCTGTTGCATTACTGAAAAACTTAGAAACTTGTAGCAGGGAGACTTCTAGATACGTAAGTTTTTTTTTCTTCAAAAATTTGTATTATCTTTAAATTTCTTAGCATAATTTGGGTACATGTGAGAAAGCAAAAAGCCTCTAATAAAGCATTGCCATTCTGGTGTGAGCTCATCAGAGTACCATTCTGACATGAGCTTAAGGCCCTCACCAAAGTCTTGATGAAATATACTTTATAAAAAAACATTTTTCAAAACCCCAGTTTGCCCAAGGACCACTTTACAGAGCTCCAGCCTTGGACTTTTACCTGTGATCAGTCATATTCTTCTCTAGGGTTACACTTGTTAAGTCAATATTTTAGAACAAAACAAAACAAAACAAAAAACCCTGATTTTGTTCACTTTTGTTTTCATATACAAGAATCTTTACAGTCAACATGTACTTCTAGATGCTATATTGAAATTGCTGGCAGAGTCTATTCTATACAGACTGAACAATCTGGCCCCTTGTTTTATTTGTAAAGGTTCAATGTATCTATGCCTGCCTACTTCAGTCTGCAAGGGAGTGTCAGAAAGGCCCCGCATTCGCCGAGCCGTGAGTTATCACTAACTTTTCAGATGTGTTAATGAATGTGGAACAAAAGCAGTTGTGTTTAAAAGGAAAAAAGGACCATCAAAATAACCTTTATTATAGTAGCAGGCGTGAACACTAAATTAATTATTCCAAATTGTGGTGTCAAAAATAACCTACTTTAACTAGAGACTAGCCTCTAGAAAACCTATTGTTGAACTGCTCTGAAGCTATCATTTTAGCTATAAATTACTATTCTTCAAATTTTATAAACCTGGTTGTAAATGAATATGTTCTTTAAGTCTTTTTAACCAAATTAAAACAATTTGAACAAAATCTTACCCCGCCTAAAAATGATAGTATTTAGTTGACTTTGAGTTAAGCTCTTCAAAATAAGACCATGTGAAAGGGGTAAAGTTTTAACCTTTTTTGTTATTCACATGTGAAAAACAAATTAATTTAGATAATTGAATCACTTCCTAGATGAAAGTTTTTAGTTCAGTGGTGTTTAAAGTCTATTTTGGTACCAACAGTTCTCGCTTCAGTAATTCACCAGTAGGTTTTCATTCATCAATGACGATACCAGTTTAAGGCTAAAAATAAAACACGTTCATTTTCTAGGGCTTATCATTTTACTTAGAGGAAATGTCCTTAAGAGTCCCCCCACCCCCCAAAGAGATTCTAAGCAAAAAAAATGTAACTAACATCTATATTTTGTTAATATAGTTACCTTTCTTTTTCTTAGATTCTTTAAAGTTTTGAGTAGATAGGCATATTTGATTAGGTTGGGTGCTTCTGTTGCTTAGGAGGTGTATTATGTTAAATGAAGACAGAATGAATTTAAATGTACCCGGTTTGGCCATATATAGCACAGACTACATAAAACTTGGAGGTGTGGGACCTTTGGAGGCATTAAAGTTAACATTTCATTTAGGCAGTATGCCTTTGTTTGACTGGTGTGTAAGTCCTTCTTCCAGGTTTGTACGCTCTTAAACACGTTATTCTACCCTCTCTAACTCCTCCCAGCAGCAAAAGGGAGACACTTCAGCTGGAACAAAATAGTGGAAGAAATGGCGTCTGGGGTTCAGTGGGGATTCGCAGTGTGTATGCAATGTTTGCAAGATTACTTTTTATGTTTTTCAATTAATGTAAATAATTAAAATATAAATCAGTGCTTAGTGTCAAGTAGGGAACATTGTATACCAGTAGAAATTCTCCTAGTGGGTCTGCTGCAAGTCACTTAACCTCTTGGGGCCTCAGTTTCCTCATCTGCAGTATGAAGGAGTTGGACTCGATAATCTTTAAGGTCCATTCCTGCTCTACATGCTATGCTTTTCTGAAGTACTCTGTTTAACAGAATGCATTGCTTTCCCACTTTGACTATTTGAATTACATGTGCAGTACACATACTGCAACTGCATGTTGTCTAAAATAGTTTTTCTGTAGGATATTATATAAAAACTAACCCCTCTTGAGCTGATTTATAAATGTGTGTGTGTATAGCCACACATAAAAAGCTAGTGATGGTAGGGCTCTCAGAAAATAAATATTTTCCAGTTGTCTAACCTTGAATGTTATTAACTTTCCTCTATTACAGGAGATACTACTCGTCAACGAATCAAATTCAGTGATGACAGAGTATGCAAGAGTCACCTTCTGAATTGTTGCCCCCATGATGTCCTGTCTGGAACTGTACGTGTTTATTAAATCTATTGTTTTGTTATTGGTATACTACGAAAACAAACTATTTGATAAAGTCTTAATTTCGTGTCACATTATTATTCAGTGATTTTTTTTTTTTTTAAACACTTGTTAGCGCAGCAATTTGCATCCCTTATATTCAGGTTGATAATTTAGATCTGTAATAATTGAATTCCTCACAAAAATGATTGCTGAGTTTTACTTTATAATTTTTTCCATTCTTCAGAGCAAGCTTTTAAAAAGCATTTCTTATTTGAAACATAGAGGCAGTTATTATACAGCAGTTGCACTTTTAGTTTAGAAATAATATAAATGATTTTTTTGTTGTTGTTGGTACGCGGGCCTCTCGCTGTTGTGGCCTCTGCCGTTGCGGAGCACAGGCTCCAGACGCGCAGGCTCAGCGGCCATGGGTCACGGGCCCAGCCGCTCCGCGGCATGTAGGATCTTCCCAGACCGGGGCATGAACCCGTGTCCCTTGCATCGGTAGGCGGACTCTCAACCACTGCGCCACCAGGGAAGCCCTGTAAATGATTTTTTAAATTGTTTGCTTCACTGTTGAGCAGAGTAGACTTTCATCCAAAACAGTATACATTTTTATTAAGATTTGTGCACATTTGAATGTGGAAATCATTGTGGGGAAAATATACTGGTAAATACTTAAATTTACACAATTTGTGAGTATTGTTGTCGGTTAAAATTCACGTATATTGCTTACTCCTAATGATGTAAAGCTCACTTAATTTAAGTTCTATATCTAGTGATGTTGGTTAATCTTAGAGCATCATTTTAATTTGGTAGATAAATCACATGATGATGGACATATTTAAATGGGACAGAGGATTTGATTCCCTGGCTTTTGGATTTGATTGAAATGATAACTCACTTTCAAGAGCTTCCATTCACAAGGATAGCAGACGAGGGCTGGTAGGGCCTAAACATTTAGCTGACTTTGTTATTTGTCTGAAATGAAGAAAAGATTTCAAACTTCCATTTGCAGAAGCAATGAGTTCCCTTAATTAAAGTTGTCTAAATTAGTGGTTTCTTCTTCTTCTTCTTTTTTTTTTTTTTTTGGCCGTGCCACGTGGCATGTGGGATCTTAGTTCCCTAACCAGGCATGGAACCCGTGCACCCTGAAGTGGAAGCTCAGAGTCTTAAGGAGTGGTTTCTTCCTGATAGGAGGAGTTAAATACCCCAAATACATAAGTATCAAGGCATTTTTGATCAAAAACACCACTTTTTCCAATAGTAAAGACCGTCGAAACTATATTATGTTAAAAGGAATAGAAGAGCTAACATTTAAAAAATATGTAATACTTAAATTTTTTTAAGTATAATATTGAAAGGGAAGACATCCAGTTTCTGAGCACTTGAATTAGGACTGTGACAGATAATTAACCCTCATATCTGCTCTTTAGAATTTCCATAATTAAAGTATTTTCTACTCTGCTATAATACAGTTGAAATCTATAATATTAGTAATTATCTGTAGTATTATTTGATTCTTCACATTTATTATTAAATTTAACATTTAATGATATTTAAGGCTAAATTATCACTTCAAATGAATTTTGAGGATAAGATTAATTGATAAAATGGCAGAATTTAAATTTTTAGTACTTTAAAACCAGCCATAGCAAGACTTTGACATATTATTATATTCTTCAGGTATGGCATTAATAATAATGAAAAAAATCTGACATCACAATTGTACTTTTACATTTTATAATGTATACAGTGCAGTCACATTCATTTATTTTTCAAAATAATTCTGTTGGGTGTATGTTCCATAGTTAGCCTTAATGACAGTAAAGTGATTTATTCAAAATTATTTAGTTGTATTGATTTAAGGTAAAACTGGAACCAAACGCAAATTTTCTGAGCTGTAGTTTTATTCAACATGTTTTCTACTCTGTAGGTAATACTTAATCCTTCATCAAGTTAAATAAAAAGGATTAGTGTTGGTCTTGGACTTTCTTTCTTATAAAATTCTTGCTGGATTTGTAAGAAGCACATTTTTTCAAATTCTAATATCTCTGAAATATGCATCTTAAAATTGATGATAGAAAAACACTATTTTAATTCATAACATTTTTCTTATAGTACAGAATTTAATGATGAGGCTTAAAATTGATGGTGTCTTGGATCACATGTAAAACAGTTAAGGAAAGCCCTTGGAAAGGCACTTGCCAGGGAAACACTGTATGAGAAATATCTCCTTTTTGTCATCTTAATAGGCAAGAGATTGTCATATGTAAGAATGGGGTTAAGTGGTTGTGAACCTCTTAAGCAGAGTTTTAAGGGCTGGCTCTAGGACTTTGTAAGAGTCCAAGGTTGTCACAGTGTGATGTCCTTGAGAACTTGAAATCATCCACAGAGTGACTTTCTCATGATTCTTATTACTAAAAAGGGCTATTTATAACAGTTTATCCTATGTACAAATGGTTTGTAATTACAGAGCTCAGACTTCTTTAGCATCCAGTCTCTGTAGAACACACGCTGTTCTGGCACGGAATCTAATAGTTCACACTTCTGTGTGTTGAAGATGCTTGTTTATTTATTTATTTTTGACATTAGATCAAGGATGAAAAGAACTAAATTGTAACTTTTTATAATGCTTTTTCTTTGTTGTGTAACTGAAGGTTGCCCTTTAGTTTTCCAGACCTTGTTCCTCAGATCTGTCACTTCCAGCAGAATATGACTCATCAATATTCTGGATTATTTAGCAGAATAATACACAGAAATATATTCTTTGGCTTATTATTATTATAAAAAGGTTGAACTTTATACTGAGCACTTGGAGATGAAGAGTACCGTTTCTAAAAATATACTCATAACTGACAGTATGGAATATTTTTGGAATTCAGTTTTTAAAATATATTTATCTTTATTTATTTATGTTTGGCTGCGTTGGGTCTTCATTGCTGCTTGCAGGCTTCCTCTAGTTGCGGCGAGCGGGGGCTACTCTTCATTGTGGTGTGCAGGCTTCTCATTGCAGTGGCTTCTCTTGTTGCAGAGCATGGGCTTTAGGCGTGCAGGCTTCAGTAGTTGTGGCTCACAGGCTCAGTAGTTGTGGCACACGGGCTTAGTTGCTCTGCGTCATGTGGGATCTTCCCGGACCAGAGATAGAACCCTTGTCCCCTGAATTGGCAGGCGGATTCCCAACCACTGTGCCACTAGGGAAGTTCCTGGAATTCAGCTTGATGAAAATGCTCCTGTAACATTTTACCATTCTTTAGTCTGGTACTCTGGTATAACTAACTTTTTTTTTTTTAAATTTTATATTGGAGTATAGTTGATTTACAATGTGTTAGTTTCAGGTATACAGCAAAATGATTCAGTTATATGTATATCCATTCTTTTTCAGATTCTTTTCCCATGTAGGTTATTCTGCTATAACTGACTCTTAAGCTAACAAATTAATTAGAGGAGGTAAAATGTAGAACAGAGAATCAAAATAATTGTGTGTATATGTATCTTTAGATTATGGTTTTTATAAGAAGCATGAATATTTCTATAATTAGGAAGTTTTTATATTTCAAAGGCATGGATTATTTTCCTGTTCATCCAGAATTTTTTGTTTTAGTCTCACTCTTCTCCTCCTTTGGAACAATTAGTTTTCTCCCTCTTCTATTTACCATGCAGAAAGTAGACAGCATCCCCTTTCAGATTTAGGCAAAACAAAAAACCTAAGTACAGTTGTCCCCCCCCCCAAAAAAAATGAACCACATTATTTCTGACACATATATTCCCTAAGGAAAGATAAGTATATTGAAGTGCTTAAAAAAAAATCTTTCCATTTAGTTCCTAGTGATCTAGGAAAAGGATATATGATAGTAATAATTTACAGAAGGCATTAAATCTAAAGCAGAAACTTGAGATTAAGATCTGCAGAGATGGAAATATATACTCTCATAATGCATCTATCCTAAATTCAGAAGTGGCCACTACTAATTCTTATAGCCTTCATCATAGTATAATTTTAGTGTTGATAGGCCATCATGTCTTCTAGTGTAAGGCCATCATTTTTTTTTAACATCTTTATTGGAGTATAATTGCTTTACAATGGTGTGTTAGTTTCTGCTTTATAACAAAGTGAATCAGCTATACATATACATACATCCCCATATCTCCTCCCTCTTACGTCTCCCTCCCACCCTCCCTGTCCCATCCCTCTAGGTGGCCACAAAGCACTGAGCCGATCTCCCTGTGCTATGCAGCTGCTTCCCACTAGCTATATGTTTTACATTTGGTAGTATATTTAAGTCCATGCCACTCTCTCACTTCGTCCCAGCTTACCCTTCCCCCTCCCTGTGTCCTCAAGTCCATTCTCTGTGTCTGCGTCTTTTTTGTTTTTGTTTTTGTTTTTTGCGGTACGCGGGCCTCTCACTGTTGTGGCCTCTCCCGTTGCGGAGCACAGGCTCTGGACGCACAGGCTCAGCAGCCATGGCTCACGGGACCAGCCGCTTTGCGGCATGTGGGATCTTCCTGGACCCGGGTACGAACCTGTGTCCCCTGCATTGGCAGGCGGACTCTCAACCACTGCGCCACCAGGGAAGCCCTGGCCATCATTTTATATAGATAGAAAAATTAAGGTTCAGAGAAATTGTCTTTGTCAGATGTCTCACAAAGAATCACAGTATATTATACCACACAGGAATCTTACGGTTATTTTAATCTGAATACTTTTTAAAATGTTTTTTGTTGTGTTGTTAGTTTTTTTAGATAACACAGTTACCTAAGACAGTGACTTTAAGATGTTTCTGAAATGTCCTTAGAGGTACCTCATTCACTGAGGACCTGGAAACAGGCCAGTCCTTCCTATTTTGACGGGAATTTTTACACATTTTAAATACAGGGATTTTTCCATGACATTTTGTTTTTATAAAGAGAGTCTGCAGCTCTGAAATAGAATTTAAGAAAAGCTGATATTGTGAAATACTTAGGGACAGGAATATAGTAAAATTTTATCTGCCTTTTGAAGTGATTGGATG